GATGTACATCCAGAGTGTAAAATAAAAGATTATGTCTGCAAAGAGCATAAAGTTTATGCTGAAAAATATTGCAAAAAAACATGCGGCTATTGTGGAGGTGGAGGAGGTGAGTGATTGAATTTCACATTCTTTATGGACCGTATTTCAGTTGAGACGGAGATGTTTCAGCTGCCATTCATCGAATGATCATTTAAACAACGTTTTGATCGTTAGCTTGTATCCATCGAGATCAAATGTTGTCTACAAACACATTCCACTGGAAATTTATCAATGAATATAATATTCTAAGATTCATGGTCAATCATCAGCGAGCATTCAACAAAGACTGAGTTGTTCGCTGCGCAAAAATAGAGATTCTGATCAATTGCTTGTGTTCAGGTGAAAGTGGCGAAAACGGTGGAGATGGAGGCGATGAGAACGGTGAAAGTGGCGGAAACGGTGGAGACGGAGGCGATGAGAATGGTGAAAGTGGCGGAAACGGTGGAGATGGAGGTAGTGAAAATGGAGGAGATGAAGACGACGAGTATGGAGAGGATCACGATTACGGATACGACGAAGACGAGCAATAAGGTGAGCCAATAAGTGACGATCATTAAGTGAAAACTTAAAGTCTCCAGACCAGAACTCAGCACGAGAATCGAGCACCACTTTTCGATTATGAGATTCAAACAGCTAATCAGAAGCCATAGGTTCCTTCTGTACGTCCACGAAAGGTATACTGCCAATTCATAACCAAACATTTTTGATTTTCGAACTAACATACCAGATTAATTCAACACTCCATTTACACAGCAACTGTCATTGAGAAAGACATTCGGTAGAGTTTTGAATAACTGAGGTGAGCAGACGCTTGAATTCAACCAACTGATTTGCAGGTGTCCGGAATCAAACGTGCAGCAAATATTCACCATTTTTTTGGCATACTTCTTGTCATTTTGTTATATTTTGCTTGTAATTTCTGGTTGAATCATAATCTGTTATATCATTCATTACGTTTAGAATCTAATAAAATCATCTGTTTCAAATGCTTCGGTTACATATTAGTTCACTTACTATTAGGCCAATCGCATTAAGCGCCACAAAATAACCAGAACATATTGCGTGCATACATTACATTCCATGAATCCAGTATGAGAACGCAACTGATTTGATGCCCAGATGATGAGATTGATCACAGTTGAGAAAAAACAGCCGTTCGAGTGGCCGTTAACAGCATCATGCATCATATAAACAGCAATTGTTTTGCATCATTCCTGCTTTCTGATAAATAAATTATCACCTGTACTGATTTGACATGAACCTACAAATGAAATAAGAGATTCGTCTGAAGTGTCGTTTCTGTGAATTGATACCATTCATATACGTAAAGTCATGCAATACAAACGCAACCATCTTTTTTACCTGCGTAACAGATGTGAGAACGCCACAAGAACAAGGAACACTCGTCAGATCGCTATTGTTACGATGAAAAGCATTCTCCGTTTCATAATTGCACTCATTTACACACATTCAAACTATGCCCGTCATTACATCTTCAGCTATTAGTGACGTTATTTTAGAAGTTCAGACGCATTGTTTTCTACAACTTCATTCTACCCAAATTAGTCATTCTGTTTTCCTGAAAATGAGGAATTTCCGTTTTGGGAAAACTTTCATTGTATCGGGAATGAAAGAATTTTCCGAATTTTGTAGAGGTATCGTTACTATGGACCCGAATTTCCGCCTTTGAACGTGATTAGTGCGATAGTAGATGAAGTAACAGTGGGCATCCTCAACGAATTGATAAATTATAACAACAAAAGCACCAACCATAGAAATGCTCAGCGTGTACACAAATCAAATCAAATTTGTTGATAATGAATGATGCATATTTAATACAGATAAATCTGCTCGAATTATTCAGTCTCACTCTACGCCAAGCACAAACACACATCATAAATCATAAAACCAGAAGCGTTCATAATTGAAAGCTAAAAGTACAACATCAATAAGTGGCAAAATTGATGCTTCAAAAAGTACGTAGTATCTCCAGAATTGTCGGGCAATTTAGTTCGTTTTTACGGATGAAATGACCGGAAATAGAGGAGCGACCGACTGATCCCCTTTCATCATGTGGTGAGATTGGCTGAGATGAATTCAAAGCATGTGTCGATACCTGGACTGTCGAAAGAGTGGCGTCGAATCGTCGCGTCTAAAATATTCTCATATCATTTTTCAACGAAGCAAAACCGGTTCAACAGCTACGGTGGCGTCGAACAATTTCTAAGTTGATTCCTCGAACGGGCCAACTGAATTGAAACTCTAGTCATCATTTCTATACATATTCGTTCGTTACAACGAGCGCTTTGTTGCATTCATTGATTTCCGACATGAAAAGTCTTTCAATACATTACTGATGAGACTTGGGCTAGTGACCAACGACTGGAACCGAAATAGCCTGACTGCTTGGTGCTCTCAGAATTTCGATGGCTGCCAATCGAGGACTCAAAAATTTCAGTCGATGTTACAACTGTCGCCCAGCGATCAATACATTTCACTGGGGCTGAGATAGTGTGGTGCGAGGACGGAAAAAAGTCGGCAACGGGGAAAATTAGAGAC